TCTCTCTGCTTGTTGAGGAATGCATGCATGCACCCCAGGAGATTCCTCTTCCCTCCCTCCCTCTCACCGTCTTTTGGCTTTTTGCCTTCCCAGATGTGGATAAGCCAAATGGTTCCAAAGCCTTCAGGAGGCAGATGACACTGGTCACAGACAACTTCCAAGTCGATCCAGGCTTCACCAGGCCTCTGACCTTATATCTCCAGCAGTTTATAACTTTGTCTGACAAACTCCAAGTTCCAAGCCTATCCTTCTCGGTCTCTCCCAGCTCTGGTTTTGTCCCACAACCCATCAATTAATGGTGGGGTAGGCAGAGGGCCTCCCCTACCCACTAGAATGCCCTGCTGCTTTCCTGGAGGGGGATGAAGCTGGAGGAAAGAGAGCACTTCTTTTTATATATATATATATTTTTTTTTCGTTGTTGATGAACCTTTATTTTACTTTTTTTGTGTATGGTGCTGAGAATCGAGCCCAGTGCCTCACACATGCTAGGCAAGTGCTCTGTAGTAGTTCCACTGCCCGAGAGCACCACCCCAGCCTGAGAGCACTTCTTTCAATGTCCATTTCTCATAGTAGCATTTGGGAAGAAATCAGTCTCCTGGGGCCCCTGGGGAAGAAACTCAGCCTGCCGTGAGTCAGCAGTGGGAGACTGATGGTCACACCTGGCCTGGCTCTTGTGATTTCTGGAAGGTAGCGGATTCTTTTTTCAGGGAGACTGGGGATTGAGCCCAGGGACCCTTTTCTATTAAGCTACTCTAGCCAAGCTCATTTCCTCTTTCTACCCTGTGGACCTTGGCCAAGGTTTTTGTTTGTTTGTTTGTTTGTTTGTTTGTTTGTTTTGGAAGTGGGGTACTGGGGATTGAACACAGGGGCTTAACCACTGAGCCACATCCCTAGCCCTTTTTATTTTTTTAAGTTGCTTAGGGCCTCGCTGAGTTGCTGAGGCTGGCCTCAAACTTGTGATCCTCCTGTCTCAGCCTCCTGAATTCCTGGGATTACAGGCATGCACCACCACTCCCAACTTGGCCAAAATTTTAATGATCTCTTGCCCTACCTACTTCATGCCTACCCTATGAAGTGGGGTGAGGAGCAGAAGGGAAGATAATTACTTGTACTATCTCCATCCCTCCAAGCTTACAGATTTATGAGGTCCTCAAATTATGTTGACCTTACTTTTCTATTTGTTCCTTTCCCTAGGGTATGGCAGCTGGAGAGAACTGGCCAAGGCTCTGGCCAGCAGGAACATCCCAGCTGTGGATCCCAATATTCAATTCTACCGTCCCCAGAGGCTGAACCTCAAGGTATGTGGCAGGGGCTGCACCTTTCCCTGCTGGTGTGTTAACATGGGCCCTCAGGTGTTCCACCTCCCCTGGCTTTAGGGAAACCTCTGCTCTGACTTGTGAGAGACAGAGGAGAAACAAGTAGTGGAATCCCAGTCTGCCATCTGGGATTTCCTGGCTGAGCCCATCCTGCCCTCCTCAAAACCTGGTGCTAGCACTAGGCCTGGCTTTCCTATTTCTGTCTTTGCCGCATTATTCAAGCTACCTTGCAATCTAACCTGCTCCATGCATGCAGCCTCCCGAGTCAACCCGCACGTCTTGGTGCTAGGAGTGCAGCTCAGTGGTAGGTGCTTGCCTAGCACTGTGAGACCCTGCATTTAATCCCCAGCACCACAAAAAACAAAAAATCGAAAACAAAAACAAAAACAAAAAAACAAACCGGCATCATGGTGGTGCATGTCTGTAATTCCAGTGACTCCGGAGGCTGAGCCAAGAGGATTGCAAGTTTAAGTCTAAGTTTGGCCATTTAGCAAGATCCTGTCTCAGAATAAAATAAGAGAGCTAGGGGCCAGGGTTGTGGCTCAGTGGTAGAGCATTTGCCCAGCAAGTGTGAGGCACTGGGTTCGATCCCCGGCACCACATAAAAATAAAACAAAAGTATTGGGCTGGGGATATGGCTCAAGCGGTAGCGCGCTCGCCTACCATGCGTGCGGCCTGGGTTCGATCCTCAGCACCACATACAAAGATGTTGTGTTCGCCAAGAACTAAGAAAAAATAAATAAGTGTTAAAATTCTCTCTCTCTCTCTGTCCCCCTCTCTCTCTCACTCTCTCTTTAAAAAAAAAAAAAATAAGAGAAAAAAAATAAGAGAGCTAGGGTGTTAGCTCAGAGGTCTCTAGAGAGTTCCTGGGTTTCATCCCCAGTACTTGAAAGAAAGAAAGAAAGAAAGAAAGAAAGAAAGAAAGAAAGAAAGAAAGAAAGAAAGAAAGAAAGAAAGAAAGAAAGAAAGAAAGAAAGAAAGAA